TGCTTCTGTTTTTCGCAGCCTCTGCCTGAGTTTAGGTGATACATGTAATCCTATGGAGCTGTTTCCACTAGAGGCTGCGTTTCGCAGCTGCGAAACGCAGCCTCTAGTGGAAACAGCTCCATAGGATTACATGTATCACCTAAACTCAGGCAGAGGCTGCGAAAAACAGAAGCAGCGTTTTGCAGCCTAGTGGAAACGTAGCCTAAAGGTCCGGGCAAGAGAAACCACCAAGACAAAGGATCAGGAAAAGGTTAAGGACAAGGCAGAGATGGGGTAATATCACAAAGGAAAACGACCTACAGAAAAAAACAGTTCAAGTACAGAGGACGTAGAGATATGGAGGATTAAGCCCTGAGATGACGACATATCCGCTTTTTGAAGGATAAGAAGTCATTAGAATTAAGAAATATACTCCCATGAATTTATCTGTCTTAAATAATAAGTTCATATATTGTACATTTCCGCAATTCATTTGGAAGTTGAACATTTTATTTCCATGTAATAGAATTTAAACGCGGATTGTATATCATGCTCTCCCTTTTGCTGGAACGTCATCGGTTATAAAGACCGTATTATCATCGAAAACACTCACACACATACACACACACACACACACACACACACACACACACACACACACACACACACACACATACACACACACACGCACACACACACATAAACGAATAAAATGATTAAGAAATTGATAAACTGAATAAAGCATTCAGCTGGATGTGTTCATCCCCTAGCTTAGTTTGTTGTCACCCTGGCTCAATTTAAACAAAAACAATACTTAAAAATGAGACGCCAAAAGACCTACAACTGTTAATACTTTCACAGACACATAACAGCAACTGCATCCCACAATATAAATATTTTTTTTGTAATATGTTTCACACTTATGGTACAGGAAAAATGCTAACAGGTTATTGTGAGAGAGTTGCTTCACGCACAAGAATTGGCTGTTGACATGTGTGGGGGGAAGTGACTTATGAAAAAAACAGGAGGACTACACCCAGAATACTCCAAATGTGTTTTATGTGGCCGAGATGGGAGCAATATTTTAATACATTATATTAAAGAATATATTTTTTTTAAATGATTGTGACACCAGGACGGGCCAAAATATAATAAAATAAAACAGCTTTCATCGGGCCTGGGCACGAAAAATACATAAAGTAAAGAGAAACAGAGATGGAGAATGTAATGACTTGTCAGATGTGAAGGGATGATAACAGATGTGTAATGAATATCCAAGAATATTCAGTGTAGCTGTTTGGCATAGAAAAAGAACTGTAACTGAAGGAAGACTTTACATCGAACTGTCCTGGACAGACCTATTTAAGTTCAAAAACCTTCAGTTGTAGTATCGCAACGGGCGGCTGCTGCCATGAGCCAACTTAATATGTTAAGATGCAGGACTTGAAACCTTAGGGACTGTGCTATTTTGAAATGTTAAAATATTTCTGTGATCCTAACAATTTAATTCTAATATTAAGCGTACATCCATCACTAAAGATGTAAAAACATTTACATCTTTGTTCCTAGTGAAATCTTAAATATGTAATGTTTGTAAGGGATTGTAATAATGCCCTTTTGAGCAGACCTGGGAGTGCCTGTAGCCATGCATCTCTCTCTCTCTCTCTCTCTCTCTCTCTCTCTCTCTCTCTCTCTCTCTCTCTCTCTCTCTCTCTCTCTCTCTCTCTCTCTCTCTCTCTCTCTCTCTCTCTCCCCATTTGAATCAGAGAAACTGTCTGAAAAGAATTCTTATTTGCTTATTTATTCAAACTGCATAGTCCTTTTGTTCACTTACTCAGCTCTTTCCTTTTTAGTTATTCATGTCTTTATTTTTCTTTGTCTATTTGTATTAAGCTTACTAATTCAATAATATATAAATATATATTCTTTACTGTCTATTCATTCATCTACTTATGCTTTTTAATTATTTATTTATTAATTTATTTATTTATTTTTACTGAAGAAGAATAAATTTGCATAATTTTTCATTCTCTCTATTTTTTTTTTACTCTCTTTGCTTTATTCACTTATTATATACCTATTTACGTAATTATTTCCATCCTCTGCTTTAATTTTCATCTATTGTTCATTACCTATTTTTGCAGTAGGATTTTAAGCGCAGTATCCTTTTTGGCAATCAATTGCTCATATGTACAACCAGTGATTGTGCATGGGGATGTGTGCAGGCAGGCGCTCCCTCTGATATACAAATACTACACTCTACATTATGCAATATACAATCCTTGTATATTAAGAGCATATCCAACATTAAGATGTAAATACATTTATGTCTCTGTCTTTTATGAATTTTCTTTGAATGCACAATATGAAGCTCATGATACTAATTACATTATTGTTATTTGTACATGCCCTATGCTAAGACCATAAATAAATCAATTTTATTGTATATATATTTTTATGAGCAAGAGTGTAATAATGAACCTTAAGCAGATCTGGGAGTGCCGTTTGGCACATGTTTCCATGAAATGTTTTAGTTCCAAATAAAAAAATTTATATATACCCTCTGTGCTGTATATATATATATATATATATATATATATATATATATATATATATATATATATATATATATATATATATATATATATATATGAAACAAAAAAAGGCCCATAAATAAAACACAAAAAGAAGCGAAGAAGTACTATATATTACGACTGGACTCCAGTCCTCTTCAGGTACAAATTAATTGTATCAATTCATTTGTACCTGAAGAGGACTGGAGTCCAGTCGTAATATATAGTACTTCTTCGCTTCTTTTTGTGTTTTATTTATGGGCCTTTTTTTGTTTCATATTGTGCTGTGATATAACAGTTTATTTTGCATATATATATATATATATATATATATATATATATATATATATATATATATATATATATATATATATATATATATATATATATATATATATATATATATATATATATATATATACATATATATATATATATATATATACATATATATATATATATATATATATATATATATATATATATATATATATATATATATATATATATATATATATATATATGTATTTGTATGTGTGTGTGTGTGTGTGTGTGTATGTAAAGCTACATGTGTTCATTTTCTTCCCTCTCTCTTCTCTCAGTTATATGTATGTATAGCTTGAGAGGGTTAATAAATCTTACGTTAAAATATTTATGTAAATATTTACAATAGTACCATGAAAACTAATAAAAAAAAAAATGCTTTGTAACATTCATAAATGATGAAAGTAAAGAATAGATAAAGAATGAAATGTTTTGTAACACTAATAAATAGTTTATTAAAACATGAATATATTTAACATTCTTTGCAACGTTTACAATGATATGACCAATTATCTCATGTAAACACGTTTTTGCAGCGTTTTTCAATGATGTCATGTCCAATTATCTCACGTAAACACGTTTTTGCAGCGTTTTTCAATGATGTCATGTCCAATTATCTCATGCAAACACGTTTTTGCAACGTTTTGAAATGATGTCATGTCCAATTATCTCATGCAAGCACGTTTTTGCAACGTTTTTAAATGATATGATGTCCAATTATCTCATGCAAACGCGTTTTTGCAACGTTTTTCAGTGATATCATGTCCAATTATCTCACGTATAATAGACAAGAAATTGAATGTTTTACTAGTATTAGTTGATATATGCATGACCAACCATGAAACGCAAAGTGAAAATTTGCATATGTTTTGGAGTGTCTGTGTAAACATGTCTCCATATACATATTGGTTTAATAAAAAGAAAAAAACTACAAATCGATACAACACATTTATTTTCAGTACCTGACCTGACCTCTTTTTCCTATGCATGAGAGTGTAATCATGACCTTTTAAGCAGATCTGGGAGTGCCTGTGGGCACATGTCCTTATGTAATGCTATAGTAATAATAATAATAATAATAATAATAATAATAATAATAAACTTTATTTCCATTTCATTACAATGGGTATTCGTCAGCCAGGGCAAGCCCCAACCCCCCACTGTGATGTCCAACCACAGCAGTTCCTGCCAGTAAACAGCTTAAACTCTCGGTCTTGGACGGGGACCGATCTTTCGACCTCGTGAATGCGAAGCCAGCGCGTTACCACTGTACTAGAGCAAAAACCGAAAAAAAAAAAAAAAACTAATGATAGATGCAACACATTTGTTTTCAGTACCTGACCTGACCTCGTTTTCCTATGAGTGACAATGTAATAATGACCTTTTAAGGAGATCTGGGAGTGCCTGTAGGCACATGTCCCTATGTAATGCTATGGATGGATTCGGTTTTACGTCACGAACTCCCTTTTCTACTAAGGGCTAGGACGGTTGCCTTCTTGCGAAGGACTTGTTTTGGCAGATGTAGTCATTAGAGTAAAAAAGAAAAGAATAGAAAAATCTTTAAACAAACGGAAGAAAAATAGAAACCCATTAACCGTCTCCAAGAACCACCCATGGTAGACCTCCCATGAAAAGTCTTTAACTAGAAAACCCTAATAAAAATCTTCAAGAAGATGGAGAGTGAAACTGACCCATACATTTATTATCCTTTTGGGAACTGAACTGGTTGACATCTATTGACCTGGCTGGGAAAGTGTCCCACCAACCAAGCAAAGATATCTCAGTGAGTTTTTGGGCGTTTTTGCTCTTCTTTGAAGCAGTGCCAGCCCTGAACAGCGACCCAAAACGATCGACTGAATGCCAGGTGCCAGCATGAAGGCGGCTCATCAAAAACATCGACCCTTAAAAAGAGGGAAGTAAAGCCGACAAAGAAGTGAACATCTGACAAGTCACAGCACTCCCCATCTCTAATATCTTTATACTTTATGCTTTTCTTCGTGTCCAAAAGCCCAATGAGGGCAGATTAATTTTGTTTTATTATTTTACCCCGTCCTTGTGTTACAACCATAAAAGAAAAAAAAAGAACAGAGGCAGCTAGGTTCAGAGTAACATATCTAAGTGTGCCTTCCTCGCCGGGATTCGAACCTAGGATCTCTCGGTTGTGAGCCGAATGTGCTGGTCATTACATCACGAGGTACATGCGGTAGCTCAATAAGTTTTTCTGGAAGTATCTTTTTTTCAAGGTCACGTTGTACTAGCCTGAGGTCGGCGCTTACATCAATAAAATTACTATAGCACTCTCTGAGGAAAATGTCATCTATTTTTTTCCCTTTTCTATTACTTAAATACACACACACACACACACACACACACACACACACACATATGGGGAGCGACCCCTTAAATTTTAGGGTTGATAAACTCTATTTAAAGAGGAAATGTCATAAGTTATGTGCTCTCTAATAGGGAAACATGTAAGTGGGAATATGAATTTTCTTGCTGTAATGAGTTCAATAATTCATTTATATAGAAGAAAAAGTACATTTTTCCAGCACCTGTGTACAAGCTATATCACCTTTGTGCAATGCAAGTTTTGAAGTATTGTCTCCAGAGCGTGAGTTCTATACAATTTTCCACAAGTTAATACATACATACATACATACATACATACATACATACATACATACATACATACATACATACATACATACAAATATACATACATACGCAATCTCAGTTATGATGAGAGGCTGAGGGAATTAGACTTACCATCACTCGAAGCTAGAAGAGTGAGGGGGGATATGTTGACAGTCTTTAAATTCCTTCATGGTTATGATAGAGTGGATAGGGATCGATATTTTGATATGGCTGGCTCTAGAACTAGAGGTCATAGTTTGAAGCTTCGTAAGAAAACTTCTTTGAAGGATGTAAGGAAATACTTTTCAGTGTAAGAGTAGTTGATAATTGGAATTGGCTAAGCGAGGAGGTAGTTAATGCTATCTCAATCCATAGTTTTAAGGAGAGGTATGATAAGTATCACTAAGTATTGGCTATGAAGCCCCAGTGGTGTTTCTATTGCTCATCTATTTAATGCATGCATATATATATATATATATATATATATATATATATATATATATATATATATATATATGTGTGTGTGTGTGTATGTATGTGTGTATATATATATGTATGTACCTACTTATTATTCTAACCTGAAAATTGTTATTCTATATCTGCTTCAAATTGTCTGCAGTAGTACTGTTGAAAAGTGAAACGAATTTTAATGATAGCACTCAACAAGGGCTATTGAAAATATTGTCACAATGATTACTCTTCAAGTACTCTTCAATTATAACACTATATTTTATTATTAATTACTTGCTATGATATTTAAAATTAATTGCAAATTCTATTAGTATGTTATTTATACATAACCACATAGATTGTAATGTTATCAACTGCAATATGACTGGGAGTGCCCATGTGCACATGTCCCCATGTACAGTTATCTGAATAAATAAAAAAAAAAATAGGTAATCACAATTAGGTAATCACATACATACATACATACATACATACATACATACATACATACATACATACATACATACATACATACATACATACATACATACATACATACATACATACATACATACATACATACATACATACATACATACATACATACATACATACATACATACATACATACATACATACATACATACATACATACATACATACATACATACATACATACATACATACATACATACATACATACATACATACATACATACATGCATACATACATACATACATACATACATGCATACATACATACATACATACATACATACAGAAAGAGAGAGAGAAAAGGCAAAGAATGAAAGGAACACTTGCTCTTGAGTGCCACACAGACCCTATAATTATCTGGCATTAATACTGACGTTGAGCCCGACCAGTTGAGGTCGTATTTCCCTTCAAGTTAGGTCGTCCTGGGGGGTGGGAACTTTGCTGGAGGGATGAGAGAGAGAGAGAGTTTTTAAATTTTACTAGATAAATTGATTTATTCCCATCACAGTGAAATAGATAGATAGATAGAGATAGATAGTTTGTCATCCTCTGCTGCTCCTGAAAGAATGAAAAAGAAAACTAATAAAATAACTTAATACTGCTGCTGCTACCATTGCCATCTCTGCTTTTGCTGTTCCTAAAAAACAGAAAAACAAACTACCAACTCTACTTATTCCTGCTTCTGCTGTTCCTGAAATAAAGAAAACTACGACTACTACTACTTACTCTTGCTTCTGCTGCTCCTGAATGAAAGAGAACAACTACTTCTACTTACTGCTGCTGCTGTTGAAGTTGCCTTCTCCGCATCTGTTGCCCCTGAAAGAAAGAAAAAGACAACAACTACTACTACAACTACTTATTGCTGCTGCTGCTACTGCTTTTACCGTCACCACCTTTGCTTCCAATACTCGTGAAAGAAAGAAAACCAATACTACTTACTGTTATTGTTGCTGATACTACCATCACCGTCTGTGCTTGTGCAGCCCCTGAAATAAAGAAAAAGAAATTGCTACTACTACTAGCTATTGCTCTTGCTACTAACTTCGCCTTCACTGCTTTTGCTGCTCCTGAAGGAGAGAAAAAGAAAACTACCAATTCTGTTACTGCTGCTGCTACTGGTGCAGTCGCCTTCTCTGATTCAGCTGCTTCTGGAAGAAATAGAAAACTACTACTACTACTACTACTACTTACTGCTGCTGCTACGTTGCTGTCTCTACTTGTGCTGCTCCAGAAAGAAAAAAGTAGACTACTACTAGTGCTTACTGCTGCTGCTATTGCTACTACTTTTGCCATATCTTCTGCTTCTACCAAAAGAAAGAAAAAGAAAACTACTAATGGTTCGTGCTACTGCTACTATCACCATCTCTGCTTTTGCTGTTTGTAGAGAAAAGAAAAAGAAAAAACTTACTGCTACTGCTGCTGTTCCTGAATGAAAGAAAAGAATACTAATACTACCACTTACTGCTGCTGCTACTGCTTCTACCATCGCCATCTCTGTTTTTTGCACCTTCTGAATGAAAGAGAAAGAAAACTGCCATTACTACTTAATGTTGCTGCTGCTACCTTCACCATCTCTTTCTTTTGCTGCTTCTGAAAGAAAGAAAATGAAAACTACTACTATTATTTACTGCTGCGGCTATTGCTGCTACCTTTTATGTCTCTGTTTCTGCTGCTCCTGAAAGAAATCAAAGATTCTACTTACTGTTGTTGTTGCTGCTGCTGCTACTATCGTCATCTTTGCTTCTGCTGCTCCTGAAAGAAAGAAAAAGAAAACTGCTACCACTACTAGCTGCTGCTTTTGCTACTACCGTCGCCTTCATTGCTTTTGCTGTTCCTGAAAGAAAGTAAAAGAAAACTGCCATTGCTACTTAATGTTGCTGCTGCTACCTTCACAATCTCTTTTCCTGCTGCTCCTGAAAGAAAGAAAACTACTACTATTACATACTGCTGTTGCTGCTACTCCTGCTTCTGAAAGGAATAAAGATTCTACTTACCGTTTTCGTTGCTGCTGCTGCTACCATCGCTATCTCTGCTTCTGCTGCTCCTGAAAAAGAGAAAACTTCTACTTCTACTTCTACTTACCGTTGATGCTGCTGCTACTGATACCGTTGTCTTCTCTGTTTCTGCTGCTTCTGAAAAAGGAAATCTACTACTAGTACTTTCTACTGCTGCTGCTGCTACCGTTGCTGTCTCTACTTGTACTGTTCCTTAAAGAAAAAAAAAAGACTGCTACTAATACTTACTGGAGCTACTGCTGCTTTTACCGTCTCTTCTTCTGCTCCTACTGAGAGAAAGAACAATAAAACTACTACTGCTATTTGCTGCTGCTGCTTCTGCTACCATAGCCGTCTGTGCTTCTGCTGCCCCTATTAGGAAGAGAATGAAAAATACACAACTACTACTACTACTACTACATGCTACTGATGCCACTGTTGCCGTCTCTGCTTTTGATGTTTCTGAAAGAAAGAAAAACAATACTACTACCACCTACTGCTGCTGCTACTACTGCCAACATCATTGTTCCGCTTCTACTGCTCCTGAAAGAAAGGAAAATAAAATTACTACTACAACTTACTACTGCTGCTACTGCTGCTGCCCTTGCTCTCTCTGTTTCTGCTGCAAGAAAGAAAAAGAAAACTACTATTGCCACCAATTACTACTGCTGTTACCATCACCGTCTCTGCTTTTGCAGCTCCTAAAAGAAAGAAAAGGAATACTATTTACAGCTGCTGCTGCTTTTGGTAATTTTGCCATCACTGCTTTTGGTGCTCCTTCAAGAAAGACAAAGAAACCTGTTATCATTACTTTCTGCTTCTGCTGGTGATATCACCCTCTCTACTTCTGCTGCTCTGGACAGAAAGAAATAGAAACACTTCTATAACTTACTACTGATGTAATGTTGCTTATCAGGCCATGTCTGCTTCTGAAAAAAGAAAGCTACTACTGCTTCTTACTGCTGCTGCAGCTACCATCGCTGTGTGTGCTTCTGCTGTTTCTGAAAATATGAAAAAGAAAGCTTCTACTACTACTACTTACTGCCTCTACTGCAGCAGCTGCTCTTACCTCCGCTGTTCTGGCTGCTACTGCTACCATCGCCGTCTGTGCTTCTGCTGCTCCTGAAAGAAAGAAAAAATCTTCTACTATTACTTACTTCTGCTGCTGCTATCATTGTCATCTCTGCTTCAGATGCACCTGCAAGAAAGAAAAAGAAAACTACTAGTGCTACTTGCTGCTGCTTTTTCCGTCCTTCTCTGCTTCTGCTGCTCCTGCAAGAAAAAAAATTACTATTACTACTTACTGCAGGTGCTGCTGTTACAAGCGCCCTATATGTTTCTGTTGCTCCTGAAAGAAAGAAACAAGAAAACTACTACTACTATTACTTATTGCTGCTGCTGCTGCTACTGTTGCCGTCTCTGCTTCAGCTGTTCCTTCAGGAAAGAAAAATAAAACTACTACTACTACTTACTTCTGCTGCTGCTGCTACTGTCACCTTCTCTGCTTCTGCTGCTCCTGAAAGAAAGAAAAAGAAAACTACTACTACTACTACTACTACTACTTACTTCTGCTGCTGCTGCTACTGTAGCCTTCTCTGCTTCTGCTGTTACTGAAAGAAAG